ACCCCGGGACGCGCTCATACGGTCTGTCAAATAGTAAGCACTCTCGCTGTAAATTGGCTGGGTGGTGTCTGTGTCCAAATTGGCTGGGATGGGAACACTTCCTGAGTGTGTTGCGTTGGTTGCTCCAGCAGTCCGACTGCTGGGTTGAAGTACTTGGCCGTTCGGTAATAGTAGATAGCCTCTGCGTAAGACACTTTCCACCGCATACAGCAAACGACAAATACAAATAGTGTGTGGGGATTACATAGACGCTGCCATCAGGCATCGTGAGCACATCGACGATAGAACAAACACGGTACGACGGGATGGCACCGTCCCCGTGTTGTCGACTTGAAAACACGCATCCAGGACTGTTCCACCAGCCGTTTGACGGCTGAGACTTCTCGGGCCCCCAGCCCCAACAGTGCTGGGTCCACCTCGGGTCTTCCATCTTAGTGTTCGTAGCTCCTCCAACTCTCACCAGACAACGCCTTCTCCAGCAAGCAGACTACCCTGCTTCTCCACCAAATGTCGCACACCTCCCCTTCGCGCGGCGCCTCCGGCCGCGCTACTGGTCAGGGTCGGGCAGTCCGCGGCTGTTTGTAGAGCGGGGCCTTGCGTGGGGCGAGCGAGGAGCGGGTTGTAGTTGTAGAACGGTAACGAGCGGTAATCAGTGAAAAGTAAACTTGGTTCCTTGTTCTTTGTAGTAGGTGGGAAATATACGACTGAGAAACTAATGCGCCGGGCTAAAACGGGGAAAGGGTCGATCGCGCTCATGAGGATGACACCCCTTCTCCTACGCTCACCTGTACTCCTGGGCATGACTTCCAACCCAACGTGACACCCGGTTGACTCGATACTCAAGACAGTATATAGTTCGTGTCATCCGTCCTTGAAGTTGGCGAGGCAAGTGCAAACTCCCTCCTCAAGGTCTTCACAATTCCCTCTGCACCAACCGTACCTCGCAGTCGGCGCTTGAACAGTTCCCACTTGATACAGTAAGACCCTGTGTGCTTTAACACGGACTTTACCTTCTTCGCATCTGGTGCACGCTGCTGGAACGACCCCTGCATTCCCGGGTACGGGACACAGCACAACTGTCACCATGAGTCCGCTCTCATTTGGGTCCTTCAATGAGCCACTTGATGCCGTTACCGCGCTGGACATTGTCGAAAGCCTCCTTGGCTTCCTCGAACGGCACAATCTTCGAGATGAGACCCTTGACGTTCAGCTGCCCACTTGCAACCATATCGAGCGCCAGTTGGTAGTCGCCCGCAGAGTACCGGAAGCTGCCGGTCACGAGGAGCTCCTTGCCGCACATGATGCCAATGGGGAACATGATGTCTGTCTTGCCCATACCTCCCTGCGTGAACGTGCCACCGCTGCGTGCGACGTAGATTGCCGTCTGAATGCAGGGCTCCGCTCCACTCGCGTCAATCACGACGTCGGCCCCGTCGCCCAGTCCGCACTCGGCAATGATCTGCTCGGCCGACTCCTGTGGTGTCACGCCGGACTTTCCCTGATACACGTGCGTCGCGCCGTGTTCCTTGGCGACCGCGAGACGTTTCTCATTGACGTCCACGCCGACGACTGTTGTGGCTCCGAACACGTAACGAGCCACTTTGCAGGTCAACAGACCCACGGGACCGACACCAAACACGACGACTTTCTGACCCGGGGACACCTTGGCCAGACGGCAGAAGTGAACGGCCACGGCTGTGGGTTCGAGCATCGCTCCCTCTTGCATACTGACGTTGGACGGCAGCTTGTAGCAGAAGTCTCCGGCATGCGGTAGAACTTGGCCAGTGTGCCGTCGTACGGCGGCGTGGCTGCGAACGCCATTTCCGGACACAAGTTGTAGTTTCCCTCGAGACAGCGGACGCAACGGCGGCACGGCACACCCGGCTCCATGGCCACTTCGTCACCTACTTTGAGAGACTTGACGGCGGATCCCACGGCGTGGACGACGCCAGCAGACTCATGGCCTAGCACCATCGGCTTGTCCACCACGTACTTGCCGATACAGCCGTGCGTGCAGTAGTGCACATCACTGCCACAGATTCCCGTGTAGCGGACGTTCACGATCACGTCATGTGGGTCCTTGATTTCAGGCACAGGACGATCTTCAAACTTGACTGCTCCCCCCTTTTCGAGCACGAACGAGAGATTCTGTGGTGGAACAGGATCGCTCGCTTGGACGGGGTCGCTCGCCAGCACGGAGTCACTTCGGTCACACAGGAGGACAGGGTCGCACACCAGTACAGGATTACACGTTTGGACAGTCGGAGCCATTGCTGTCGAGGTGC